GGGGGGGATGTCTGGTGGGAGAGCGGGCACTGAAGGTGTTTCGTTTTGTAAAGGTGTGACAAAAGAGGTAGTGCCGAGGAAAGGGTTAGCAGGGGGAATGAGAGATGTGTGTGCGACAGGGTTTAATCTCTTAATGAGAAAAATATATCCCAGCTGCCTGTGGTGGGGTGAGCTCAGGGATGAGCGCGGCGTTGCGTGAGAGCTCGCCCTTGTGCCGTGTCCTCCATCTGCTGCCCCTGAGATTTGTCTGAAGGATACTCCGGAGCCGGGATGGGGAGCTGTGATGGACAGCAAGTGCAAAATGCCTGTGGGGCAGGAGCGAGGACATGGGGGCGGGGATGAATTTGTCTCAGATAAGGGCTGGTGGCCAAAGAGCTCCCTGCCAGGTTGTTTCCTTCAGTTCCCGAGCCCATTAGTAGGCTCTGCTCCCTTGATTAGTTGGTGCCCATGCAGAGCAGTAATGAGAGCCGGGCTCAAGCCATCAATTCTAGGTCAGTGGTTGTGTGCTGGGGATTTGGGATCGGGCAGGGGGAGGGGAGCTGGAGCTGGATGCCTACCTCCAAAAAGCAGCGTGGAGCCGGCGTTAGGGCAGCCTTCCCTGCACCCGTTGGGGTAAAAAGCTGCTTGCACCCACCGCAGAGAGGCTGTGCTTCCCCCTCTGTGAAGTGCCCCAAGGGCCACGTCGCACCCCATCGCCCCAAACGGGGGCTGTGCCTGTTAAGGAGGCTCATTGCCTGCTTGAGTTGTGCTCTCCTGAGAGGATAACATAGCAAGAATGAGATCCATTAAGGAGCCAGCATAAATAATCAAGTGTTAAAACTGAAAGAGACTTTGCCTCGCTCCTGGGCAGTATCCTTTGCTTCTCGCAGAGCCGCTTTCTTCTTTCCCTGGCATTTAGCGATGACTTTTCATTGTTTCTGGTGTTTAACCTCTGATCCTTCCCTAAATGTGGGCAGGTGAGGCCGGGCAGTGAGAGGCAGCATGGACTCGGAGGTGCTGAACATGTTTGTCATCGCCGGTGGCACCCTGGCCATCCCCATCCTGGCCTTTGTGGCCTCCTTCCTCCTCTGGCCCTCAGCGCTCATCCGCATCTACTACTGGTGAGTTTGTTAGCCCAGCTGCTTGCATTTTAGTGTGGAGGATGAATTACTGCTGGTCCCCATCAGGTCCCTGCACCCTGACACACACAGGGCTGCACAAAGAGCCCGCAGGCAGCAGGGTGGCACGGACAGAGGTGGGTGTTCTGCCCGCAGTGGCAATAGGAGCAGGTGAGGTGGGGTTTTCCATGGGCATACCAGCTGTGCATAGCTTTAAGCATCTCTGGGGGAAGAAAATGGCATTTTCTTATTGTTTTTTTGCTGCTGAGGCTTATACTTGTTGGGACAGCCTCAGCTGGGCTGCGGGATGTCTAAGAACGTTTCTGGGTGGTTTCCCCCAAGGATGGGACTGGGATAAACATCGCCGTTGCTGCCTGTCCCCCCGCCTGGCAGCCCCACCAGGCTGGTGACCTCCTCCCTTGTCATTGCAGCCACCAGCTTGGGTGTCCTTGGCTCTGCTGCGGCTCACACACTCCCTCCTGGTTACCAGCCTGCTTGGCAGGCAGGGACTGTTCTCTCGCTTGTCGTTATGGACAAGGCTTCTCTCATTCTCCCTCTCTCCTCTGGGCTGAAGCATCAGAGAAGATGGAGTGATGCTTTTCCTTACCCCCTTGCATCTCGTCCTTTCCAATACTAGGAAGCAGGCACTACATTCTTCAGTCCTCGTCTGTCCCTGGAAATCAGTGTTAAGCACACCGTCAGCTTTCCTGTCCGGGTTTGTTGCGAGGGACAGCTGGAGTAACGCTCCCTTCAGAACCGGGGCAGCATCTCACCGCGCGGTGCGGGCAGGAGCAGGCAGCCCGGCAGGCTGCCCTCGTGTGCTGCTGGCAGATGGTGGCTCCTGCAGTTTTACTCACAGAGTGTTTCCTAATCGAAGTGACCTCCTGTGAGAGGAGGATGTTAGCCCACCCCACACTCAGACGCAGCAGCGCGATGAAGCCCATTTCTCATGGCACGTTTATTACCAGCCTTTATTCATCACAGCATCTGGGGGCTGAGAGAGAAGGGTGGATGGGGTGAAAACCTCAGTGACTGGCGAAGGATTTCTTCCTGTTGTGCATCGTGTGAGGACCTGCAAGGCCAAACAAGAGCAGGCGGTGTGACAGCCTCCTGCCCCAGTGACGTCTGGGCTGCTGCCTGGAGCAGGTTTGTCAGTCAGAGGGATTTTTATGTCCTTTGGGCATGTGAGCGGCTGATGGAAGCCAGGGAGGACCCTGATGGCTCAGGTTCTGAGGAGGATCACTGGAGAAACCCTGCAACACCAGAGCAGAGCGAGCATGGTGGGGCAAAGCCTTCAGAGGCCACAGGCAGGGCTGCAGGACAGGGCGAGGGAGGCACAAGGGGCTGATGCCAGGAGCTCTGAGGAGTCGGAATGAGAGGGAGGTAGGGCCTGCTGCCTTGTCCTGCAGGGCTGCAAATTAGGGGCTGGGTGAAAATGGCCCGTTGGCCATGGGTAGGTCCGTCTGTGTTCAGCTGAAGGAGGGAGCATGTGAGCAGAGATCAGCAGGACTGTTTCCTTTTGAAGGGTAAATGCCCCCATCTCTCTCTCTTGCAGCATTTCTGGCAGCATTGGCATCTTGCAGGAGTAACTGTGATGCTCTGTGTTTATGGTCACCTCTTTTCTTAGGGACAGCAGGCAAGAAGAGTGGGTTTGCCCTTTACTCTTCCTTTCCTATTTGCTTCTTTCTGAGTCAGCTTTTCTTAGGGCAAAATCATTGTGTTCCCTCATCGGCAGAGGCAGGAGAGGGGGCAGGCAGCATGCCATGCTGACCCCTCCTTTCAGCCTCCAGCATTGCTGCACAGCTCCTGGGAAGTCCCATGGTCCAGAAGGTCCCCAGGAGGTCCCTGGGAATGCTTCTCCCTTCTGCCACCACTCACCCCCTCCCTCCTCCTCCTCACTGCCGGTCTGTGTGTCCTCACCAGTGCAGCCAAGGGTCACGCTGGGCCCTGCCACTGATGGCCTCGCTCTGTCCCCCGCTGCTGATGCGTCTGGGGCTGCCCCACTGACCCTGGCCCCATAGCCTGCCTGCTCTGCAGCCAGGGGTTAATCAGTTTAGTCACTGCCGCTAAGCACATTAACACCCTGCGAGGGATCAGTTCAGCTTTGCACAGATTATCGATGAATTGATCCATCAGGATCAGTTGCTAAAAACGTTATCATCTTGCCCATCGGTAGTTTACACGGGTGCCTTTGAGGCAAAGACTCTTAAGACATTTATTTAGGGAGAAATTCTCCTCTCCTTGTAGGACCAGCACAGAGCTGAGATGCTGCTTAAGTCTCACTAACTCCCTCCAAAAAGGGATTATGCTAAAAGCGGATTGCACTATGCATAAGCTTTGAGTGGGCAGAGAGCTAGGACAGCCCTGCAGTGTTGGTGACCTTGCTCTTGTGTCTCAAATTCTGATATCACCCATAAAAGTATTTGCCAGTATCTTGGCTATCAGGAGTAGCCCGGTAGTTGCCCTGACAAGGGTTACATCTGAGCATAAGGGAAACACAGAGAAAGCCAGCCTGCTCCTCTGCCTTGGACTGCACGTACACATCATGTGTCCAAAGTGTCACTGATAATCTCTGCCCAGGTCCCCTCTGGCCGGTGGTTTCACTCCATCCTCTTTGAGCAGGCTGCGAGCGTGTGCTGGCAGGAGCTGTCTGCCTCTGCTTGCGGAGGAACAACCCTGGTTTCCCTGGGGTTAGCCCAAGTATCTTCTGCAGTGTTTGACCCTGTGTAAGGATGGTCCCCTCCGGTCCTTTGCGTGTGTATAAATACATTTTTAAAGATTGACTAGTTGGTATATGGGAACTGGGTGTCTGTGGGGTGATGTTCTCCCGTTGCTACAGGACTGTGCCCAAAATAAACCCATGACAGATCCACCGTACCCACCTGGAACAAGTGCCTTGCTTGGCCTGCCCATCCTGCACGCTGCCTTGCCATGTGTGCTGCTTATCTCCTCATACCAATCTTTGGGCGTTTTCAGTTTTAGGATTGCTATTTTGGACCATTTCCATTGCCAAATTAGTTATTTAGAGTATTTTTTTTGAAGTTTTTAACCAACAGAGTGTCCCAACAAGCCATCTGCAATGCAGCCATGAATAACCAGCCGCCCATACTACACCTGTAAGGGATCACGTGTAAGCACAGGGTTTGGTCCAGGGACCAGATGCTCAGAATTAGTCCCAGTTAGTCCTGTGACAGCACTGGTGTGAGCCCAGCCTAACTGGTCTCAGCAAACTAGTGAATCTGGGGCTGAGTTTGGACTTGTCACCTCCTTATTTTGCTGCTGGGCCCTGGTCTTGCTTCGCTCACTGGTGTTGTTTTCTCCTTGTTTCCAGGTACTGGCGCCGAGCCTTGGGTATGCAGGTTAGATATGCAAACTACGATGACTATCAGTTTTGTTATTCCTATAGAGGAAGACCTGGATACCGACCATCCATCCTGATGTTACATGGGTTCTCAGCCCACAAAGACATGTGGCTGTCCATAGTCAAGGTGGGACTCCATTTCTGTCATGTTGCTACTTAGTGAGAGTCGATGGTCCTGGGCTTGGGGGTGGTGTGGGGACACAATGGTTGCATGCATGGGATGTGATGATCACTGTAACATGTTAGGAACACTCTCCTTAGCTCTGTGCTCATTGCTTGTTGGATCCCTTTCATCCCTATGACATGCAGAGCTGCAGGGGAAAAGCAATACGTACCTGCCTCCTCCATGGGAAGCATGTCTTGGCTGTGGCTTCTCATCATGTCATCCTTGATACCTGAGATGATTTATTCTAGTGCACAAGTAACCAGGGGCTGCTAGGAGGAGAGCAATGCCCCTGCTCCCACCCGTGGTCACTAGTTTCCACCCCTGGGCTTTGCCCTAACCACCCCTGGTTTGTTTCTGCAGTTCCTGCCAAAGAACCTGCACTTGGTGTGCGTTGACATGCCTGGGCACGAGGGCACGACCCGCTCGGCCTTGGACGATTACTCCATTAGTGGGCAAGCTAAGAGAATACACCAGGTAAAGCCCCAGCATTGTGTCGCCTCTGTGGGGGGATGTGGGGACATGGGGAATGTGAGGACATGAGGGGTGTGGGGACATGAGGGTGCTAAGCTCTGTGAGCCCTGCCTCATGCAGCCTCACTCCCTCCCTTCCCAGGCAGCCAGAGCCACCAACCTCAAGCCTTTGAGTTGAATTTCTCTAATGACCCCGTGCCGTTGCTTCCTTTCCCCTAACAACGTTCCTTCTGCTCCCCTGCCAGTTCGTGGAGTGCATCAAGCTGAACAGAAGGCCCTTTCATCTGGTTGGCACTTCCATGGGGGGAAACGTTGCTGGTGTCTATGCTGCTCAGTACCCAGAAGACATTTGCAGCCTGACACTCATCTGTCCCGCAGGTGGGCAGCGCTGGGCAGGCGGGATGGGGAGGGGGCATGCTGGAGCCAGTGTCAAAGCCCAGAGAAGTGCTGGAGGCAAAACAGGCTTTTAGTGCAAAGCATTCTGAAATAATTTGTACGTACAGTCTGCAAATCTCTGGCAGGGCATGGAAGAAAATCACGATCTTGTCCTGACTGCTCTTCTCCAGAGCTCTGGAGGTTGCCACACTGTGCATTGGTTAGAGCTGGCACTAGGACAAATGGGACAGGTCCTGCTTGGGAGGAAAATGCCTTTTCCCCTCAATGGCATGTCTGCAGCCTCTTGGGTCTGGAGGGGGAACCCAGGCAGCAATGGGAAAAGCTTCCCCAGTTTGGCCTCTTGAGAGCCCCGGTGTGCTGGAGGGCTGGAGCTTCAGGAGCTGGAGAGCTCTGTCCTCCCACGTTTGGATGCTCTGAGTGGGAAGAGCGCTTCAGGCTCAGGCACAGGTCAGCAGGGTGTCCCTGTGCCTGTGTGGCACCCCGCCGTCCCCTCTGTCCCCACCGTCCCCTCTGTCCCCACCGTCCCCTCCATCAACCAGGGGGGCTCGGGGGAGCCTGGTCATGACATGTTGCAGGAGACATGAGGGGTTTGACAGGGAGCTTCTCTGCCAGGGAGGGCTTTGCTGCATCCCAGTTGTTACAGCAGCTCCTTCCCCCTCCCACGCAAGAAAAGCGGCTCCCAGATAAGCAGCAATGAAGCAAAGCTCATGTCTCCTAGCTACCGGGCTCTGGGGGCGGCAAGATTCCTGCTTCTCTCTGGGAGGGGTGTTGGCTGATTCTCTGGGTGTTTCTGGATGTGAAACCTCTGTGTGGGGGCTGCAGAGGTTTCAGATTAAGCTGCTGGGGAATTTTCCCTGCAGTGGTGCATGCAGATGAGGCTTCTGAAATTTTCTGTCCAACCCTGTGCTGTGGCAGGCTGGGCACGGGCATTAGTATTTGCATCTGCTGGCCACATAAAAATAAGCTCTCTAGTTTTTGCCAGAGTATTCATGTGTGTCTACAGGGAACACAGCTGGTGTGGTGTCAGCCCCATGGGGCTCGGTGGTGTCAAGCCCTGGAGCAGGAGCAGGGCTGGGGTATCTCTGGGTGCACATTAAGGTTGCTGTATGTACAGATTATTTTGTTTCTTCCCTCTTCTTATTTATTTTTTTTTTTAAATGAGTGAGCAGGCAGGAGGCCAGAGGCAGGGATGAGGGAGGTTGGCACAATGATGCTCTGTCGTTGGGGCTGTTGGGGGTCCTATCCAGGTTTTAGCTTGTGCCCCTCTTCTCATTTGACCCAGGCCTGCCAAGTACCACTGACAGCAAGTTCATTAAGCAGCTGCGGGAGCTGCAAGAGTCTGAACGCATCGACAGGATCCCTTTAATTCCCTCGACGCCCGAGGAGATGGCGGATATGCTGAAGCTTTGCTCCTACATTCGCTTCAAGGTGCCGCAGCAGGTGAGGAGCCCGGGCTGGCTGTGGCGGCCGGGAAAGGGGGACTCAGAGGTGGGGAGCGGGTTTGCTTCTCCACAAGCCTGCGTGGCAGCAGCTGAGGTGATGCCAGGAGTGGAGCTGGCACTGCCATCCCCCCACCACCCAGGCAGGACACC